TTAATATTTATTATTTTTATTTTATGTGTATGAGTGTATTACCTGCATGTATGTGAGTGCACCCATGTTGTGCAATGCTGTGGAGGTCAGAAGAGGGTTTCAGATTCCCCTGGAACTGGAGTTAAGGATGGTTCGGAGCTGCCATGTGGGTGAGAATTGAACCCAGGACCTCTGCAAGAGCAGTCAGTGCTCTTAACCACTGAGCCATCTCTCTAGCCCCCATATCTTTGTTTTTTATTATTATTTTTAAAATTTTATGTGTATGAGTGTAATGCCCACACATAGGTAGGTTTAGTACCCTGGGAAGTCAGAAGAGGGCATCAGATCCCTTGGAAGTAGAGTTACAAATGGTTGTTAGCCACCATGTGGGTGCTGGGAATCAAACATGGGTCCTTTGCAAGAGCAGTCAGTGTTCTTAACTGCTGAGCCATCTCCCCAGCCCTGAAAAAAACCATATCTTTATGTGTACGTGTGCCTGTATGTGTATGAATGTGTGTAGGGGGCATGCATGATGGTCAATTTTGGTTGTCAGTTTGACACTCCTGAATAGAGGTAACCACAATTGGAAAATTTCCTCCATCCACTTGTGGGCACTGCTGCCCCTGTGCCCCTGTAGGTAGACCTGTGCCATGTAAGAGCAAGCCAGGGGAAGTGAGCAGTAAGCAGTGTTCCTCCATGGTTTCTGCTTCAGGCCCTGCCTCCATGTCCCTACCTTGAGCTCCTGCCCTGGCTTCCCTTAATGGTAGACTGTAACCTGTAAGCTGAAGTAAACCCTTTCTTCCCCAAGTTGCTTTTGGTCAGTGTTTTATCATAGCAATAAAAAGCAAATTAGAACATTATGGTATATGTATATGTTCATGTGACTCTGTGTGTGACTTTGTGGTGTGTGTGTGTGTACATGGAAGGGTCAGATGTCGACACTGGATGCCTTTCTCAATCTCTCTCCACCTTATTTTTGGAGAAAGCGCCTCACTGAACTTGGAGCTTATCCATTCCACTTGGCTGACGGGCCAATGAGCTCCTGGGTCCCTCCTATGTGCAGGCATCCACCCCTCCCACTTCTGTACCTGATTTTTTACATGGGCTCTGGAGATCCAAACTCTTTTTTAAAATTTTTAAAAGCTGACTTTTAATTTATAAGTGTATTGCCTGCACGTATGTAAATGTACCATAGGCATACAATGCCCATGGAGGCCAGAAGAGGGTATTGCATTCCTTGGTATAGATAGTTGTTAGCCACCATTTGTGTTCTGGGACCTGAATCCTAATCCCTTGCAAGAGCAACAAGCACTCTTAACTACTGAGCCATTTATCCAGCCCTCAGGTCTTCATTCTTGTACAACAGGTATTTTACTGAGCTATTTCCCTGGCCCCTAGAAGAACTGTATCTTATATTTACCTGAAAACACCAATTGTACTTGAGCCCAATAGCATATGTAGAACTTCTATATTGATTGCTAGCTCCACAAATAGTGGACTTATTACTACCAAGTGAAGGTTGGAGAGACTCAATGATAAAGAGACCAAATAGAGACTTCTACCAAATGTTTCCAAGTTCATATAACCATCAAAGAAAGAATTTAGTGAAGAGACAAAGTAGGGAATTTGAAGGAAGTTCATTATAACACAAAATTACATGGTAAAATGTTGATAACTTTCCTCTCAAGAGAGACATACCCAGATCTCAGATATACCTTTTTATGACCAAACTTTGATGTCAGGTAGGATTATTCTTGAGTTAAGGTAGAGAATGATGGAGAAATATAGGAAGGCTTGGGAATGGTCCTGGAATGCAGTGTTGTACTCTTATGTGGGGGTTTTCAGATGTTGCATAGTATAAGATATATGATAGGAGCAAACAATCTTGCAAGACTAATAACATAGAGATGTAATTATAATGAAGAAAAGTATAGTTAGCAGTCCCAGTTGGGTTTGAGTGATCACATAATTCTCTGCCATAATACAGTTTTACAGTTGTGTCAGCCTTTAGCCAGTGTATAGTTTGCCTCTTCAGTCACTGTATCTATCTATTCTACCTCAGATTTATTTGTTAGAACACTAAGTTAGAATCAGTGTTAGAATATTAAGTTGACTAGCTTTAGTGTACATAAATAAATAAATTGAAATTGGTACCTGTTGTGCTGAAAAGCTTGCTTTATAGGCAATATGCTAATATAAATGAAGTTAAATTACAAACACAGCTCTCCAAAAGGCATAGACATCGTTTATTCTAAGCCAACTTTAAAGCTTGCTTTATAGGTAATATGCTAATATAAATGAAGTTAAATAATAAACACAGCTCTCTAAAAAGCATAAGACATAGTTTATTCTAAGCCAACTATGAGTGATTACGCCTAGGAACAATTTCAGGTTGCTCTAGATGACATGTTCCACTGTGGAAGCAGTTTCATAATGTTTTTATAGTCACAGATGAGAAGAAAGTCATATCTCAAAGCAATTATCAATTACATTGGGTGGAGACTTCAGGAAGACCATCAAAGCACGGAAAACTCTGCTATAATTTTCAGATGTTATCTGATGGCATTCTCACCTTTTGGGTTGATGGAAGTTAGTGGTCTGGTAATAACTTAGTTAATAATACATTCTAAGCATTTTTCTGGGTAGTCAATAGAAAGTTAGGTCAGATATAGAGATGGGTGATAAAGGACTATTGAGGGGACTAAAGACAGTGCAAGATAATTTTCTCTTAATCTCTAACATTCCAATATAATCACAGAGTTGTAATCAGACTGATTAAAAACCTTCAAAGTGGATGTGTCTTTTTCAGGAAGTTCCATTCAAAAAACTTTAAATATATTGTTAAAAATTAATACAAAGACCATGATGAAAGAGTTAGACAATGAGAGAGAAAAATAATGCCTACCGAGTTTAAAAAAAAAAAAAAAAACCAAGG